AATATATTTGTTCTCATATTTAAATTAAATTGTATTGTATTGTAATGACTTGATAAAAATCAATCTTCGTTTACTCATAACATCTGATTTATTTTACTGAATATTTTTAGCTTGTTCTGTGTACTTTAAGCGTTGTTTATATTAAACTCGCTTCACCTAGTGAGAAGAAGGTTACGAATATAAACGCGAGTTTGGCCTTACTTTGAAACAAAGAAAACATCACATCAAAATTAACTTACAATACACTATTCGTGCCTGTTACGTAACTGCAATACTGATTGTATTCCAAACGTCTCATCTTATATTACATTTTATGCTGCGGCCTTGCCAAACATAAAGAAATATTCCTTCTGTAAAACATGTACTGATGCTTAACTTTCTCATAGCATCTAATCACAAGCGATTTTTCACCACCGCAAACTCTCGCGTTTCTTCGGTGTCGTCAAGGAGACAACATCGGCTCATGGAGACTTAAATACCTTAAAACATATTGCTTTGCTAAGTTACTGATAAAAGTAGGTCTACTATACCAGTTTAATACGCGGGTGGTCTCATCTTTACACCAGATATAAATGATCTGGAAAAATGAAGGCAGGTAATGCTAACAACTTCAATTAAGTCTTCAAGTGTCCTCTTTTTGTGGTCGTGTAATTATATAGGGTGGTTATTTAGCTTTATAATACCAAATTGTTTATGAAGTTACTAAAAAAAGATATATCAATAAAACTTTACTGAGTCCACATATACGAAGTTTTTCATCTCAAACTGTTAATATATGAATGTTCCAAACTGTGCTTATGATGTGTATTACCAATCATATAAGCCTCCATCGGCACAGCGGCATGTCTTCGGACTTACAACGCTAGTAACAGGGTTTCGATACACGTGGTGGGCAGAGCACGCATAGCCCATTGTGTAGTTTTGTGCTTAATTACAAACAAACAAACCAATCATATAAATGTAAGTATAATCTAACTTCGCATTTGTAGTTGCACTATCCGTGCACCTGTGGTGCATTTAACAAGTTATGACAAAAACGTAATTCTAACTTCCCTCAAAAATTCCGTTATGTATAATTTAGGCAGGGTTTTCATGATGAGTAAACAAAGGTGAAATAGGCAGTAACTGTTGAGTTCAGTGCGACACCTTCTCCTAAAGTGTCACGCTGAACTATTCAATTGCTGCCCATTTCACCTTTGTTTGTTTCTCAATTTTCCTTGACACTGTAGATCTCTAATGACAAAAATCCATCCTGTTATTCGTCACATCTTATGGAAAATACTTTTAAAACTAAGTTACCTATTGTTGAATCATCTGTTAGGTATAAGTTGAACCCTTCTAAGGCCAAAGTAGTAGGATGACAAAAAGCTGCCTGTCATTTTTTACATATGTTTCTAACAATGGTAAATAATTAGTTATCATATTTCATTGAGATTTATGTTTATAGATTGTATAGATTTTCGAAACCATCTTATCCTATAGCCAGTCCGACACTACATGTTTTTGTACAACTAGATATATTAACCAAGACTATAGTTGCGTTTATATGGTTGCAGCCTGGTTGGTTTCTTGGATAACCAGTCAACATTTCTTCGTATGTGTGGTTCCTTATCGATTGTGTTCTAGTTTATAATCTAAGAAAACAATACAAGGTTATATCAATATTATAACACAATAAAACTTGGTTATAAATAAACAAAACTGCATTAGATAGAATATTAAAAGTTTTGACATGAAACAAAATTGGGAAAGAAGAAGTGCTATATTTTTTAGAACAAAAAATTGTGTATTTGTTGTTTATTTTACATCTTGGTTGTTTGACCTTTATACTTCCGTCACTTTACTTTTCATGACGTCAATTGGTAGCTTGTAACGCAGGCGCACCTGTCGAGTACACCGTCATGAGCGGATGTGAAGAAGGGTTAGAGTGATTTCGTTACAAAATTAGTTTAGAACTTCCAAAATTGTGTGTTTTTCTTGGATAGTATTGGAGGTGGTTTGCTACATCGCCCTGTGACTTTTATTGCCTTTTTATGGTGTAGTTATTTTAGGTCATGTGGGCTGACTTGTATAAACTGTTGTCTGACATTTTCAGCGAGTGGGTGTGAGATCGATAAAGTGGTGTACAGCCACTGTTTTGGTGTGAAGCAGCCAGTTTCAAAATGTGAATATTAAAAAAAAACAAAAACAGGTGGACACTTTTTTTCTCGGTTTATATTGTAAGACATATTATCTGTATTCTAAGC